AAACAAAAATATCCTAACATATAAATAAAGTTCCTCCGAGGCTGTCAGGAGGAGATGCTTGCAGCCTGATCCTGTGTCTGTGTCTCCTCATTCGCTGACGCCGTCCTTTCCTACGAGAGACCCACCCCGGCTGGAGCTAGACTCCGGCACAGAAGGATCTGTCAGTACTAGTTAGTGCTTGTATTCCATACTGCTGGTGGAAATCAGGGATTTTACCACGATATGCTTGCCCACATCTTTATTTTCTCCTTGGTCATGCTAGGAACTTAGCTCCTTTCATCTGAATCCTCAAGTCTGTCTTCCAACCAGGGACATGTGCTTCTGCTGGTTCCTTAGCTATGCTTGTCCTGGCCTCTTCCTTTGGATTCCTGTTACCGCCCTTTAGGTCTTCAGGATCTCCTTCGCAGTCTCGTGTCCAAATGCTAGGCTTCCTTTGTTGGCGTTATCCCTGTGGCCCTTCCGTGGAATTTGACCAGCAGCTGCGGATCCTGGTGTTCCACTAGCCCTGCCTGTTTCAGGCTAGGGGTCCTTGAGCATGTACTTCTCTGCCTGCTTGTGACATGCTGCTTATGAAAGGAGCTCAAGCAGGGCTTCTGTGGGAATGGGACAGACACGGTCTCTGCACAGGGCCCAGAGAGACCCGCCAGAACCTTGTCAGGTGGGAGCCCCTCCCTCCTGCCCCTGAGCTTCGTCAAGGTTTGGTCATCTCCACACAGTCGGTGGGGAGTATCTAGGCTTCTTGTTCCCCTGGCCCAGGGCTCCTGCCCATGCACTGCATCAGGACACCCCTGGAGCTTTCTGGAGCCCGGGGCTGCTCTGCTTCTGAGGTGTCTGGAAGTGAATTTACGTTTGCAGGCAAGATGGCAGGGTCATGGGATTAGGCTGCCGTTTGCCCAGAAACAGCAATCTGAATGACTTCTTACTGTCTTTCTTCCACACAGAGTTGTGATTAAAAAAAAAAAAAAAAAGGGACGCCTGGGTGGCTCAGTTGGTTAAGCGACTGCCTTTGGCTCAGGTCATGATCCTGGAGTCCTGGGATCGAGTCCCGCATCGGGCTCCCTGCTCAGTGGGGAGCCTGCTTCTCCCTCTCCCACTACCCCTGCTTGTGTTCCTTCTCTCACTTTGTCTCTCTCTGGAAAAAAAAAAAAATCTCATCACATCAACTGTTCTAAGTCGTTGTTCATAACTATCGTCTTTCATGGACTGAATGTTCCCCTTGGTATTTAACCAAAAACCTGGTTGCTGCACCTTTCCTTACATTTTTTGCTGTCCAAACATTTGTGTTCAATGTTGTTTTATATTTTTAATTTATTATTAAACAACTTCATTTATAAAATCCTCCAAAAGTGATATTTTACTGATATTATAATTTCTTAGCTTCTTAAGAAACCAGAAAAGGGGGAGGAACCAACTGAGAAGCCAAAAGAAAGAGGAGAGGAAGTGGATGTTGGAGATGGAAAACGGGAGCCCTGTGCTAGCTGTGCTGTCCTGAAGCCCACACCCTTGGAGGGCTTGCTGGAGGAGCCCAGGGAAAAGTAAGCCCACGCTTTTGTTGCTTTGACCACATGAAGGATCACAGAAGTGGCGCGAGCCAAGCTACTCATGCTGTTTGACAAAGTCCAAGTATGGGGGACGATCCTGAAAACAGGAGACTCCACAGCTGGCTCCTGCTAT